GGCTCACTCGTACTGAGCAGAAGGTTACTGGTCTCGACAATAGGATCCGGCGCGTCGAAATAATGGCAGCCAAGGTATACACGCACATGTCCTGATCTGTCCATCGACTTATTCTGTTTCCTCAGAATTGGAATCATTCGTGTGGGACTAGGGGGGGATTGCAATGGGCAAGGGTTCCTCGGGTTGAGGAAGATGAGTATGAAGCCATCGTATGTCCTCGTTTGCTTCTGCCTTTCCCATAGACTGACTCAAACCTTGCAGGCACCATTGTACCCATACATTCTCAGGCTTAAACACTTTTTGTACCCACTCACTTTATAATAATATTCACACGCGCATCACATCTGCAACGGATCATCAACGATCCATCCTCAACAGAGGCCGGCGGTCCGATCTACTGTGCGATTTTTCGCCAGTAATCTTTCAAACTCTGTACCGCATACCACCACCAGTGTTCGTACAGCGCCCACGATAATATTAGAAGGTGCCGGGTGATGAGAATGTCAATGATGCAGACACTGTACATTTTACTTGGTTCCTTCCTTTGAATACAACTTAGAACTTGTCATGACAGCCGGAAATTGAAAACTTCGAGAAGCTCAGCATTGCAGATGAGGAGCAATTGGACATCTGGTTGGCGTTCTACCATCCAGACAGGCCCGTCCGGGGTACACTGACCCAGAAGAGGGTCATGCTTGCTCAGGACCTCAGCCTGAAGGGAGAAGTTCAGCACCTGCTTCATCAAAGGGGCTGATTTGATCATTGCAAATGCGCGCTCATGTTCTCAGACCTCATTCCTCCTGCTGCCCATTGTAATGATACATCTTGTACTTGTACGCTCATAGGTACTGCTTATCACTCTTTGACCATATGCATTGACGTTCACACTATCATCACATCTGCAATGGGTGGGCAAGAGACGTCTACCAGCTGACTGCTACCCACAATGAAAGCACGTGACTGGTGAGTCGGATAAACGTCATTGACAACCGAACAGGGGTCTTCTTCACTACACTTTTCCGTTCTTATTGTATTCATCCAACTTGGATATGACAACCACATCGACATCGTCGACGATGTCCACCTCGACGTTGACCGACGTTGATGGTGTTGACTCCCAATCACCTATGTCTTCGCTCGATGATCCCATGCACCAAGTAATACCGCACCTCTGGTTGGGTGACTACCTCGCTGCCAACTCTCCCGACTTGTTACGTCAACACGGCATAACTCATGTCATCTCCGCCATCCGATGGAAACCCCAAGTTGTACAGGGAGTCCGTTACATGTATGTTGAGGTAGATGACACGCCCGAAGGTGCGCACGCCTTTCTTCCGCGTTCTCACTAAGTGCTCACAAGACGTCCTAGCCGACCTCCTCGCTCACCTTCCCGCATGCGTCAGCTTCATATCCGACGCCCTGTCCTCTTCTTCCTCTGTTCTCGTTCATTGCCAAGCTGGTGTATCCCGCAGCGCCACCATCGTTGTTGCCTACCTCATGTCCACTCTCTCCCTCTCCACAGAGGCCGCGCTCGAGCTTGTCCGTGCCGCCCGTCCGCAGGCATGCCCAAGTGAAGCCTTTCTCAAGCAGCTTGGATTATGGAAGGAGGGAGGATATAAAGTGAGCAGGCGTGACAAAGCGACGAGAAGATGGTATATGGGCAGAACCGCCCAGGAAGTCATGAGTGAGTTTCTCCGTTGCTCTAGAGGAAGTTCTGCTGATAGACTCTCGCTCGTACTCTAACTCTTCCACGTATTCCTATGCATTTGCACCGTTTCCTCCTCCCCATCCCATATTTACCCAGATGGAGACGGTTCCCCTGTCCCACTGACGATGCTCGCATCCTGGCCGATGACACCTACAGCAAGTGCACCCACCACGCCCCTCTCCCTCCCAAAACGACGCATCCGGTGCAGAAAGTGCCGGCGCGAGCTGGCTACGCGCGAACATATGCTGGACCATAACGTCGGTCCCGGTACCCAGCCTTCAACGCCTGGTGTAGGTGGCGAGGGGGACCCGATGGAGACGAGGACGAGTCTGAGCAGGCCAGGCAGCAAGCCGCCGAGTCGAAATGGGAGCAGGCGGAGCTCAAGCGCGCAGGCAGAACGACCTATTCTGAGCCCGCTGAGTATGTCCACGACCTCCCTGGACAGCCTCGCCCCTTCCGTCACTTCCGCCGGTCCTGGTATGCCAAGAAGACGCTCTTCCGCCTCTTCCCCTCTGGTCCAAGAACTCCCAGTGCCTACCGATGTCATCGCTGGTGTACCTCCGCTCAGCACGCCTACCATACCAGAAGACTCAGTCGCTCCGCCTACTAGCTCTGTGGGCGCAAGACCTGCCGTGAGTAAACCAAGCTTGAGGCGGAGCTTTGGCACCACGCCGGTCCCGGGTTTGACTGGCCTCGGAGGAGGGCTAGCGATGACGTCGCTTCCCTCTACAAACGGAGCGAGCGCGACAGGAAAGCAGGACTATGCGGACTCGGCGGTGAGCGAGGATGATGACGACCCCTTGCCTCACTTGCCGACGACGAGCCACGCGACTTCTGCTCTACCATCCGGTGGCCTGCTCGCTGGCTCCGCACTCAACGCCTCCCTCCCACCAGCACTTGCAGCTCTCCGCTCAACATCCATAGGCACTCCGGCATCCCTTGCCTCCACTTCGGGATTGGTCGGAGTGCTTCCACAGATCAGGAAGAGGAGCTTCAATCTACAAATGTCGAGGATCGACCCGTCTCCCGAGGAGCCACAGGGTGCCGCGGGTGCTGGGATAACGGCGCCAGGGGCCAGGGTGGCCGATAGGAAGGAAAGCTATTTCTCACCGCCTATTCTCGCTAACTCGAATTGTTCGGGATATTTTCTAGAGCCGGTATGCCATCGCTTCCTGTCAGTATTTGGATCTTAGCTAAACATGTCTGGCAGATGAAGTGGATGGATTTTTTGGAGGAAGGCGAGATGGGTGGTGCAATCTATTGCCCTAACAAGAAATGTAACGCCAAGCTTGGAAACTACGATTGGGCGGGAGTGAAGTGTGGTTGCAAGGAGTGGATTGTCCCTGTACGTCTGAATTTACACGATCTTGGATTGGGTAAGGGTGCTGACTGCCTCCTTTGATAGGGATTTTGTATACATAAGAGCAAGGTGGACGAGGATCTTTGAGCACGAAGATCGCAACACGGACAATGAAATCGCAAGAGATGAACACTATTATTAGCTTAACGACTATCGAATGGAGCACACTTTCTGTCCCTTCTATCACTTGTATTGTACTTATATCCTGCCACTTCTGAGAAGGGCCGCCTTCCTTGTAACCAATATACGGAATCAACTCCAACGATGGGAGACATGAACATCTAACTGAAATATCGAGCGATCCGTGCGTGATGCGGTGTGACCACGGTGAATTGTTGATTGTGTTCCGAAGCGATATTTATCCGACCGCATACACAATCAGGTCAACCGGCATCTGATGCAGGTGGTCCTGCAGCGCGCGCTAGCTTCTTGTCATGTCCTCTCTTCCGATCATGGTTCCCTTGCCTCGCCTTGTTCTTGTCCTTCCAAGCCCGATCTCTCGCACTATTGCTACCTCCTCTTCCTTCCCCGCCTCCCCCACGATGGGCTCCTTGACCTCTCCCGCCTCTGCCTCCTCTTCCTCGGACCTGATGGCTGGACTGTCCCTCACGATCGGATGCGTGGGACGAAGAGGGTTGACCTTCATCTTCTGGGACAAGCGGGCGATTTCCTGAGAACTCGTGCTTTTGTAATATCTTGTCTTTCCGAGGCTGCTGTACAGTAAATAGAGTTTTCAAGTAAGCGTATTGTGTGACGTACGTTACGCTCCAGCATGATACGCCATCCCTCCAGTTGTTCGTCTGACCAGCCTGTACAATGCCTCAGCATCAACGCGGCGGGGTGTAGATCTCTTCCAATAACTCACCTGTCTGCGCTCGAAGATCTGCCCGTTGCTTCGTCCTCCTCGTCGCTGCGTCTCGGTCGAACAGCTTCGGATCTCGGATATACGTTTGCTCCAGCAGGGTTTCCACATCCACCTTCTTCGCAGACTGCGGCTCCCCATCCTCCATATCGTCACCTTCTTCACTCTCCTCCCCGTCATTCGTCACCTTGACAGCACTGGACGGCTCCATCCCGTCGTCTAGTTCCTCCTCGAAAGCCACTATTTTTCGTCCTTCTGCTTCTGCGTCTTCCTCTTCGGAATCCGACATGTCCTGAACGCGTCGGAGAATGTCCGCTTTAACAGCATCGAGTTGTGCACGATTGCGCAATACACCGTCGGCGTTGTCCCTGGGAAACGTCTCAGCTAAAGAACACAGCCAGCATTTTCTGGGCATACCGATTCTTCCCTATTCGGAGTTTAGAGAAATCCAACGGGTCGTCGTCAAACACGTTCCTTCTGCTTTCCAGCAGAGGGAACGCGTCTTTCCGTTCTTCCGAACCGACGCTCGCTCTCACTTCGGCGGGTATGTTCCCTTCAAGCAAAGCAGCGACGACCTGCTCGACGGATCCCCCGAATGGCGGGTGTCGGAGGCATGCTCGGATCAGATCGGGACTTTCGTCGGGGAGGATATCGAGTACTTGAGTCAGTTTAAGCTCGAGCTCGGGGGTTTCGTCGGCAGTTGATCCCTGGACTTTGTCAATGTCGCGACAGACCACGTGAAATGAATATCATACCGGTGCCTGAGACCTTCCTTTCCCTTTAGCGTTGCTGTTTCTTCCAGAACCGTTCAAACCAGCGGGTGGTGTGGGCTGAGTAACCTGTTTTTGCCCAAGTCCGGGGATTCGAAGACCCTTGAGAGTCTGCACCATATATTTCCTCGTGGCATCTCCCACCAGACCCATCGCTTCCAAGGTCTTTGACAGTCCATACATGGATTCATAGACCGCCAATATCGGTGCCTGTATGCGGGCAACGAGGCTTGAGCTCGCGGTATGTTGGGTGTCAGGAGGGGACGTTGGAGGGGCCAGGTCGTGCAGGAGGTAAAGGAGCTCGTATAGTCCTTCTCGCTTTGTGCGTTGATGTCGAGCAGCAGAAGTACGAGCGTAGATTAGCGTGCGGAAGGAGTCGAGTAGGTTGGCTTTGGCTTGCAGAACGAGCTGCTCGGACTCAACGGAGGGAAAAGGTGTGTTATTGTAGGCTTTGGCGATGGCGAGAATAAGCTGGTTATCGGACAGCACGTCGACCATGCTGGACCCACAATTAAGTAGTCGTATGAGGCATATAGATGATCTGAGGAGGGCTGGGGTGGTGACGTTTGGCTGCGGTAGCATCGTGACGAATGCAGGAATCACCTCACTCCGGAGCGACGCTGACAATGCAGGCGTCACCGTGAGTGCTTCGTCCACGAGAGATACCATAGCCGTATGATTGGACCCTTCGTATACGACCGCAGCGTCCATAAGCAGGCCAGGATCGATCGTGCCTGGAACGCTTGCAATCCGTCGCAAGACTTCGAAAGCACGTTTTCGCAACACAAATTCGGCAGCGGAATCGGAAGGCAGCTCGGAATCCAGCTGCCTAAGACGTCCAGACGCTTCTTCATGTAGATAGCTGGTGAGGAATGGCATGCAGTTCTGTGAAATGGACCGGGCGTCAGGAGTCGAAAGGGCCGCTCCTAGTTGGAGGACGAAAGAGTTGACAGCAGATTCCCAGCGCGAAGAAGGAATCTTTCCTTTGGTTGATGCTGTTGGCCATAAAGGAATAGACACAGAAGTCATTTCTACCAACAAAATATTGACAGTAATTTCGCTCAAGATTGGACAATTAAACTTTTTGGTGACTCTCGGAGCTAAGAAGGTAATCAATGACAATGATTGACACGCGACTTTCAGGGATCAAGGGAACACTTCTTGGCGGAAGTAATCTTGTCAGGCTACGCCAGTTTACGGTGCACAACAGTCAACTTTCGGCATACACGTCCGCCGCCTCCCCAACCCGTCCACAACTCAGCGACGAGTATACAATAAACTCATCAAGAGAAGAACAAATCGAGCTCAGAAAGACTAGGTCAGAAGACTCGTGACTCCGGAGTCGCAGGATGCACACGCGTTTCTAGAGTGTGCAGACGTATGGTATGTGGGGATACCCAGATTACTTTCTCCACAGACTTATTCAGAACTACAGAAGGTGTATATCTAGAAGTGTGCGAAGCAAGACCCAAGAGCGATTGTAGTCAATCAATCGTATTGAGCCGGCGGACCTCGTGGGTCAGCCTGTACGGTCGACGAGCTAGCGAGCGCGTTCGCGGGACGTCGAACCCAGTCTAGTACAAAATGGACGACTTCCTGAAATATGGAAGTCCTGGAGGAAGCGATGAGAGCGATGATATGGAAGAGCAGGACGACGAGATCGAGCAGGTGCAGGATGATGAGAATGAGGAGCAACCGGACATGGATGTCGAGGACGATGACGACGACGACGACGACGATGATGATGATGACGATGAAGATGACGAGGATGAAGATGATGCGGAGGCGGAAGATGAGGATGAGAAGGATGCGTTGAACTTGGCCAAGTCGCTGGAGGAGCCAGGCGAAGCCGAGGATGACGATGAGGATGCAGAAGGAGATGAGGACTACGAGGAGGATGAGAGCGATGCTGATATGGAAGATGCGGAAGGCGAAGATGAGGAGAAGGATGGTATGCTGCCCTTTTTGGCTGTGCTTCTTAGTCCGGGCTGACTTTGCTGTAGACATACCCAAAGCTCCTCAAGAACCTACCTCGGCTGAACAACAACGCCGTTCACTATTCTTCACCCCCGATGTCCCACACCGATCCTATGCTATCGATCCTATATGCGCGCTACCGCATCCAGAAAAAACCCATACAAACTGTCTCGCTGGCTCGCTGTGCCTTACACACCTCCTCAGCGGTTCAGACGACGGGTTCGTTCGAGACTATGACTTCTTTGGTGGCGTGAACGGGGAGAGCTTGCTCACCTCCCAGCAAAGGCAGTATTGTGGTCTCGGAGAGGGGGTCACGAAGGGCGGAGTTATGCGTTCGTGGTGGACGAACTCGTCTTCCGATGGGCCGGACAAACAATCTCTGCCAGTACACTCGCTCATATGCCAAATGGACGCGTTATGGGGCCTTTCCGGTACATCGAATGGCCATGTGAACCTATTCACTATAAGGCACGATCCGGGGAACATCCACTATGTTTTTAAGGGACATTTGGATAGCCCAGTATCGTGCCTGGCGATGTCACATGATGAGAAGTCGTTCTTCAGCGGAGGATGGGATCATCAAACCTTCGTGAGTGCGCATTCACTGTTGCGAGGGTTCCGCTAACATGAATGCTTCAGCAATGGGATTTGAATACTGGCCAGATTGTTCGCCCGTTCCAGCGACGAAGACAAGAAGAAGGGCGACAGCAAGGCAGTCAGATGACCGTAGTGGCCCTGCGACCTGAAGGAGCGAGTGTGTTTAGTTCACCAGGAAGTAGCCTGTTAGAAGAAGAGGAAATGCCGGCCGGCGCGCCTCAAGGAAACGCGGGTATAGCAGCACTTACACCAGCTGAAGAGCCTGGAAAGGACGGACCGGAATCGAACCCCCTAGTGAACGGGATAACGACAAACGGAGCTGTACCTAATCTTCAAGCTGACGCTTCTGTGCCTCCTGCCGATGCCAACGCGGAAGACAACGAATTTGATCCGTTATTTGATGCGGAGATGGACGACAATTCGGACGCCGACGCGGATGCCGAGCCAGATCCCGATCATCAGCCCCCAGGCGCTCAACCACAAGCTGTTTCGCAAGCCACACAGCCTACGCCACAAGTCAACGGCATGGTCAATGGCCGAAGTAATGCCACGGTCAATGGACATGGCCGAGGTCCAGGGGGAGATGATTCTTCCGACGAGGACGCGACGGATTTGCCAACGACAGCGCGCTTTTTCACGAACGTTCAGGCACAGGCAAGTAGTCAGCTGACGGCTGCAACATACCCGCTCCTTGGACCGGCGCAATATGCGAATTTCTCCAGCAATGTGCTGATGACCGCTTCCGTCGATGGGCAGGTGTTGCTCTGGGATACCAGAGTCCCTAACTCTGTCGGTCGGCTGGAGATGCACGAGCGGACTCCGAAGTGGTGCATATCCGCATGCTGGTCCCCAGATGGCCGGTATATATACGCGGGTCGCAGAAACCAGTCTGTCGACGTGTGGGACCTCCGTGTTCTGGGTCGCAGAACAGGGACGGGTGCTCCGAGGGTATTGCGTACGATACGCAATCCAGACGATTCTGGACCTGTATCGTGCGTGGCTGCATTCCCGGACGGCGACCACATCGTGACGTGAGTGACATCCCTAACCATTGGTGAGCTGGCATGCTGACAATGACCCATCAGTGCATCCAAGGACAACATCCGATTATGGAATGTTCGAACCGCCTTTGACGCCGACGTAAATCCCTCCACTCGGCGAGCTGGGGTGCAGTTCAAGATCATCGCTGGCCATCACGATGGGATTGTCTCCTCCATATGTGCGGCCCGTTCTCCTTTCACCCTAGGCATACACTGACCAATCATCATAGTGATCGATGCCACGTCCAGATTCATGATCACTGCGAGCGGTGACAGGGGCTTTAATCTCGGCGAAAGCTCGCGGACGGTATTGGTCCATGAAGTCACCCCGATTTCATAGGACTTCTCTGGTGATTATCATCCGAACTCTTTTGTATGGTGTATCCTTATTGATTACGGGTGTTGTACCGGAATGATTTCACACTCGCACGTCTTTCAATGTCCTTTAGTCCATTCTGTACACAATCCCCATCTGTAATAGTACATTATTTAGCTAATATAGGACAAAAGAGGCCATGCATAGGCGCGCCCGAAGGCCGCGCAAAAGAAAATTCGAAGGGTGATTAAGTCGCGGGCGCTGTACGAACACTGGTGGTGGTATGCGGTACAGAGTTTGAAAGATTACTGGCGAAAAATCGCACAGTAGATCGGACCGCCGGCCTCTGTTGAGGATGGATCGTTGATGATCCGTTGCAGATGTGATGCGCGTGTGAATATTATTATAAAGTGAGTGGGTACAAAAAGTGTTTAAGCCTGAGAATGTATGGGTACAATGGTGCCTGCAAGGTTTGAGTCAGTCTATGGGAAAGGCAGAAGCAAACGAGGACATACGATGGCTTCATACTCATCTTCCTCAACCCGAGGAACCCTTGCCCATTGCAATCCCCCCCTAGTCCCACACGAATGATTCCAATTCTGAGGAAACAGAATAAGTCGATGGACAGATCAGGACATGTGCGTGTATACCTTGGCTGCCATTATTTCGACGCGCCGGATCCTATTGTCGAGACCAGTAACCTTCTGCTCAGTACGAGTGAGCCGAGCATCGATCCTAC